ACTGACCATCAGACTGTCACTTGATAACCCATTACCCTCCATTGACCTTGAACTGACCGACCGATCGCCAAGTGCCACGTAACACCCTCCCCCCTTACATTCCCTCCACTAGTCATCAGATGACCTCCTGACCCCCTCACGCCGTGTACCCCCCAATAATGAGCACCAGCAGAACCACCAGGGTCAGTAGCGCCACAAACAGGCCGAGGATCCGGAAACAAACTTTGTCCAGAATCACGGCAATGTCCGTCCACTTGAGCTCCGGGGTGTCGTAGCTCTCCACGTTGACCAGCCGGCCCTGATGTCTGGATTTGTCCTCATGGTTCACGCCAGAGATCCCTCTATTGCTGCTGGAGTACCTTTTATCGCCCACGCCATACGAATCACCAACTCGCACGGCCGATTTCGTCCTGTTGAAGCGCTCGTTCGAATGAAAACCGTCGTATTCATCGTTCGGAGATTGGACGTCTGGATGGATTTTATTTTTGTTGTCACCGTTGTTTTTGCTGTTGCTGTTGTCGTAAGACACGGAGGGTCTCCAGCAAGAAATGGGGATCATGAAACTAGTCGTGAGACGTAGGAGCCAAGGGGGGATAGGTTTGTCTTCTTCTCTGTGGTGGCAGTAGAGGACCATGACGGTGAGGTAGGTACTGAACACGCCCACGAATAGGATGATGGTCAAGTAGACACCTGGGAAAGAGAACACATTGGGTTAGTTGGGGGTGTTTTTATTTTGTTTTTGGTACTCTTTATGGGTGTAGAAGACACATGGTTGCTTTTAAGGACAACCGGGCTACGCCAGATTTCGGGGGTTTTCAGAAATCTTGACCTACACCAAGAGTGGACATTGCCATATCTATTGAGGAGAAAGTTGGTGTCATTGGTGTGTATATTTGTTTGGTTATAGAGAAAACTCTCTTTGTCTTTTAAAGAAACTGAACAAGGGGCAAAAACGTTACCCTCGATTTTCTCAAAACAGCATTTTTCGGGATAGTCCCCTTGTGCTTAAAAGCGACCACATATTATGACTCATCAGCAGCATGCCAAAAGTAATATTTCGGCACATCAAACACGCGTGAGAACACGCATTGGCGCATTTCAATAACGAATTTCAATTATCAACCCGCAGTAAACGATATAATATTTCCCCCAAAAAAGCAAGAAAAGACACATATAGAGAAACATTCGTACGAACTTCAGTGAGGTTACTGAACACACAGTGCTACAAATGAAATAGAGAGAGAGAGAGAGAGAGAGAGAGA